TTAAAATTTTCAACACAAAATATCAAATAATTCACATTAAACCTTTTTGTCCATAGAAATGCAGCCACTCCCATTCCATTAACGATTAAAAAGTTCAATAAATTAAACGATAAGCTCAAATTTTGACATTTTCGCGGCTCAATTATCCATTAATTTTTGTTTTTGCATTATTCAAATGTTTATCAAACATCGGGCAGATTTGGTTTCAAAATATCAAAAATTCTCAGCTGGAAATTTAATGACAGTAGCTTTTTGGTGTGCTAATGAATTTGCTTTATAGAAATTTGATACTGATGTAAATTTTTTTGAGGTCGTCATTACTGTGTTGTTATTGTTTTTGGTAGTTTTGTGAATATTTTGCCAGAATTTGGTTCAATTCAGTTCAATTCCATTCAATTCTGTTTAATTCTGTTCAATTCAGTTCAATTCAGTTCAATTCAGTTCAATTCAGTTCAATTCAGTTCAATTCAATTCAATTCAGTTCAATTCAATTCAATTAATTTCAGTTCAACTCAGTTTAATTCAGTTCATTTCAGTTCATTTCAATTCAATTCAATTCAGTTCAATTCAATTCAGTTCAATTCAGTTCAATTCAGTTCAATTCAGTTCAATTCAGTTCAATTCAGTTCAATTCAATTCAATTCAATTCAATTCAATTCAATTCAATTCAATTCAATTCAATTCCATTCATTTCAGTTCAATTCAGTTCAATTCAGTTCAATTCAGTTCAATTCAGTTCAATTCAGTTCATATCAATTCAATTCAATTCAGTTCAATTAATTTCAGTTCAGTTCCAATAATTCACAAAAAATTGCCATAATTACAACACGAATTTTAAAACAGCAAAAATTGACAATCTTGTTTGCATTTTCAAGCTGTGTTTATTCAACTATTATTTTTCAGTGTTGACATGTGTAGCTGTGCTAATGCTTTTTATGAACAAATCGATATGATTCCAACGTTATTCATAATATATTTTAATGACATTCATATCCTTATATTTCTCACTGAACTTGCCATTGTTGATAGATTTTTCCTTGTTGTGTTATTCATATCCACATATATGATATATTAAAAATAATTTGTTTGGAGTGAAAAGGATATGGCTGTTTATATTCCCCACTCCACATGTTTATTGTATAGTTTTAGTTGCTATTGTGTGCTGACAAATGATTAATGCGCTCATACAGAAATTGCACAATTTATTGATTTTGATAAAGCGGGGTGATGAATGTTATTGTTTTGTTAGTTTTAGTAGTTTATTAATGGATGGAATGGGAATTTTAAAATTTAAAGTTGAGTCCATCTATCATATGGACTCGCTATGGTAGAGAAGGGGGCATCATGAACTAATAAGCAGAGAACAGGCTAATTTAAAATTGGGTGTCGATCAGCACCAACATCAAGCAGCAGTCAAACTGATCAATATAATCATCATTGAGTCTCACAACTCACAAGTCATTCCAAATCATTTCTTCAATCAAACTCTTCCGCCATATTGACATCTTAATCTATTTCCTCAGAGTTTTATACATGCTATGAACATTCAATAATGTTTATTTTCACGCAGCACATAGAATGAGCATTTCCTCATTTCCTCGAAGTCATAAAATATCGCAAATTCCAATTATTTATGAGCAATATGATAAAATGTAATGAAAATGAGAAAAATTGAGCTAGCTTTATTTTCTGTTAAAATTACTTACACATAAATGGTCATAAATCTAATATAAAAAAAATAATATTGTGAACGAGAGCTTTTAATAAATTTTTCAATGAAAATTTATAGTTTTGTATCATGTGCTGGTTTTAGTGAGGAATTTATTTTTGTTAAAAATAATACTACTTGAATGTATTGAAGCGAGAAATTGATATTTTTTGACTGCTGTTTTTATTATTCTAAATGGATGCAGCTATATAAAAATATTTGAAGTTAAAATGAATGAATTCTCAATTCTGAAAAATGCAGTAAAACTGACTGGATTGCTTGAAAATTTGCAAATTTTCCTGTACGCAATTGTGAATTTTTGATGATTTAAATCAGTTGTTTATTTTTGGTCTACGCATAGTTTAATCTTTGATATTACAGCTGTGGCTAAGTTGGTAACCATCAGAATGCATAAAGTCTTCACAGGCTAAGACGTGGGTTCGGTTTCCACAAGCAGCCAATTTATAACATCAAGTGTCATTGACATGCAATGATGCTCACTATATTACAGCAATCAACACCTCCATCAACTGCTCTTAATCCCCTAATTGGTTTAATGTTGAATTATAATTGCTTTAATAACGATAGCAACCAACTCACGCATCTGCAACACAAAACAATTAAATCAAGATAATTCAATTTAAATCTCATATAAATTCATAATTTAATTAATCTTACATTATTATAATCACACGTAATAAGTGAAGGATGTTGATGATGATGCCATCAAATATGTAATTTTCCAGCAAGTATTTATATTAACTGTATAGGAAATTAGATAAATTAGATACATTTTCTCACACATCTAATCTAATTTTAATAAGTTTTCATGGCAAGCAAATATTGCTAATGTTCTAATTTTTCCAGTTTACTGATTCGTTTGTGCCTCACAATAAACAGTAAAGAAAATTTTCTTGGTATTGAAAATTATTGCTGATTGCTGATGTAAGATCTTTGAAGTGAAATAGAAATTTTTTATAGCGATAAGAAGAAAGTTTGATGCTTTAAAGGTATTATTTAAAGAATGAAAAATCATGAAGAAGCTCTTTGTACTTTAAAAGGTTTAACGTGTTGAATATGAATTTGAATTAAGTGGGTTTTGTAGGAAATTGAAAAATTTTACAGGTAAATATGGAAAGGAGGGTGTTTTAGGTATTTTGAAGGGGGTGTATTTATTTTTAGGACATAACCTTAGGTTCTGGAATCATAAGTGTTGTTTAAGAAGTGTTTTTTGATTTAATAACTCGGTTCCCTTTCAAGAACATTTATAAGTCCCCAAAAAGCTTGCATTAAAGCCCGCAAAAGCAATGACGCCTGAGTAAGTGCTTGAATATGTAGCAGCAATCAAAAAACATCTTGAAACTCCCTTCTTGACGTCCCAAAAACTTTTGGAGAGAAGCTGTTTACAGAGACAGTATTACACTTGATATTGGTAATTGGCAAGCGGTAGCCTGCAATAGAGCCAGCTTCAGACGTCATCCAAGGGAGGCAATGGATCACAATTGATTTGTACGGCCAGAGAAGAAGAAGAAGACAATGATTTCTGACGTCTGTGACACTCTATAAATACTCTATACATACATATATGTTGCAATATAAAGTAATGATTCAGCTACATCCATCAAAAGATCCCAAAAAGCTCGATAAACAATCAAATACGAAAATTCAATTACATCCTGTAAAATTTCATCTCTAGGGTAAAAGCATATAAAGCCATCATATTTTTACCATTTTCTTTCCTCTTCTCCATCATCACAAAACATCTGTTTCGTAAACTGATTTAGTCTGCATTCACATTTTTTGGGATGTATATTTAAGGATGTGTACATAAAAAAGCCTCACAAGTGGAAAAAATCATTTCCGTTCGGAGGGTCTCATGTGAAACACAAAAGCACAATGATGAATGACGGCAGCAAGAATTATTCAATGGATATCCCTTTTTTAAGGTAGAATTTTGCTTCTGTTGTGGAAATTATTTTTAAGAACATGTTCTGTGAATCTTTGACATTTTAGGAATTTACGTAGATTGAAATATTTTCTAGGAAACCTTAAGAATGAGTTTATACTTTTATTTGTACAATATGTATGTGCTCATATTCTTTTGACTTTAGGCATGTTTGTAGGCTTTTCAATTTTATTCATAATTGTTTTCAACAGAATCAACAATTGATTCATTCCTTTTGCCTTAAAAATCTTTTTCATACTTGATTTTTTAGACATTTTAATTAAATTTTATTTTAAATGTCATGTTCTGTAGACGAGGGGGAGAGAGGAGGGGAGAGAGCAAAATGCTCTGTTTCTGGATTCTGGAAGCGATTTTCGTAAAGGAAAAGGAAAATAAGCTTTAAATACCAGTTTTAAAAATTCAACAAGGTTGAATTATGATTTATGTTTTTAATGATTTTATGGTTGATCTGCATCGTAGTGTTTCCAGCTTGCATCGTAGAGGAACCCTTCATACTCCAACCACTGTCTCTTATAACAGCAACTCACAAAGCACATCACATTTAAACTCAAGACAAAAATTCCCCATTTAAAGACAATCATCATCCAAACAGGACAGAACAAGCTATCATCATCACTGCCCTACATTCTATCTTACAGTTTTCAATTACTCATTGTCATCGTTCTTTCCAATGATGAAAAGCGTCTCTAAGGTTTTTAAAACACTGCAAATCTTTAACAAGCCCATTTTTCAGCATTAAAAAAATTGTTCTAGCATGAAAATAAATGAGAATGAAGTAACAAGCCTCTTTGGAGTTATTATTGTCTCATAAGTATTATTCTTAATCATCTTTTCATTGTCTTAATAAATAATTATTTAAAGAGGAAATGAGCAGCTGCGCAGCTTTTTTGAGGGGAATAATTTTGCCGTTTCTTGGGGATTTTATTTTTGTCGGAACTGAAATTTATTCTCTGGAAAAATCGATCATGCAAATTTTTGTCTGAGAATGCATCAAAAGAGATTATTTCTTTAATATCATTACGAAGCTCATGTCCAGCTTGTTATTTAGATTTTTAAAAAAAAAATCAATGGAAAAGTCTTTCACAGCTGCTTGACAAGCACCAGAAAGAGGAAGACAGTTTTGTGAACTTAATATTTAATTTACTTATTACTCTATTGCTTTATTGACCTAAATCTAAGATGGCAGATGAATAGCTTTAAAAGTCAGTGGGAGATATGTTCAATCGAAACCAATGTGGAATTTTTCATTTAATAATTTTAAAATGAGGAAAATTGCAAGTCAAGTTGGATTTATGTGACCTAAATAAATGTTTTTATTGTCGTGCTTTAAAAATTCTACATATTTTCTGAACATTTTGTTAAGTTAAAGCTGTGGCATTACATGTTTGAGGATAAGACAATGCTGTTCCATTTTAATTCCGAAAACCACCCAAAAGTCTCTGAATAAACTCGTGAACATCAACATACTTTGTATTATCCAAAGACCTTTTGAGTATATCCACTCCATTACTTTCAATCTTTAAATATGCATATTGAGCTTCCTTACTCATCAGAATCTTAATATTCTCCCAAATAGCTTCAACAACTTCCTTTGAGTTTCTATTGACTGCAATTGAGAAGAAATTGTTTCCTTCAATGTCAACATGCTTGATAATTTCTAAAATTTCCGGTTGCTTAAAATACATGAAAAATATTTTCAGCAAACTTTCATGGAGACTCTTGTCATTGTTGTCGTATGCAGCTATTTGCAATAAATTCCTACTTCCTGCATTCAAGTTGGTCAACATCTTCTTGACATGCTCACGTAATGTGACTTTTTCCAGTTCTTCTATCATAAATTCAAAGACATCAGCTGATGAAGAATGTGCAGCATTGCTGAAGACATTTTCATTTTTGTCATCAAGTTCAAAGAGAATCTTTGAAAATTCAAGTTTGGATATGCTCAATTTCCTGAAAGTTGTCCATAAAATTTGATGGATTTCAAGTTTTTTTGGTCTGCAGGCAGCAGTTTGAAGTAAGCTTCTCTTATGCTCTCCTTTTGACTTAATAATTTGCTTAAATTGGACATCCGTAAAGTTTTTCTCGAGCATATTCATTGTCAACTCAACAACTGCTGGATTATTATTGGATAGAACCAAAGAATGAACAAAATTGCTTCCATTCTCATCAACCTGCAGTATAAAGTTCTTCAATCCCTCCTTATTCTTAAAAGTTCTGACCAATAGATTCCAGAAAGTCTCATGGAAATCTAAAGTCTCATTTCCACCAACAAAATGAAGCACATTTTGATCGTCGTTTGCTTTTTGCATCACAAGCTTCTTAAAAAGTATCAACAATTTCTGAGAAGCACAAAACTTTTCGATTTCCGTCCATAAAACTTTGAAACTTTCCAGATTTCCTGTTTGGATGCAGACATGCAAAATATTTTGTTTCTGGGTGTTGACATCTTCCATCAGTTGAAATACTTGGCTGTTGTTGAAAAGTTTGAGCATTATAGACAGACACTTTTGGAATTTTTGTGGCTGTAGGTTTGCTGTGTGGCCTAAGACGTCAAATATGTTCCCATTTGGTGGTTGTGTGGATTTCTTTTCTAAGATTTCTCGAAGGAAGTTTGGACCAGTCTTCTCTGAAGTTTTTGATAAGAAATTATCAAACGCTTCAATATTAAGGCTTGATTGAAGGATGGAATGGAAAATGTCTTCACGATAAATCAATTTCTTGATGTCAGGAACTTTTAAGAATTGAAGCAAAAGTTCTTGGAACTTTGAAAACATTTTTGGATTCTTGATGTGAATTGCAATGTTTGTGGCATTTCTGAATATTATCTTAGTGACTGCAATGTAGTCACCACTCTTAAGGATGTTAACAACTAGATTTCCTAGATTTTCATAGCCTCTAATAAAAATTTCTGCAAAAGTCTCAATTTTGTAGAAGTTGTCAACATTTTTCTGCAATTTCTCTTGAATCTTGTCCCAATCTTCGATGATGTCATTTAGGAACAACCTGATGACACGAAATCTTTCAGTTGTAAGAATCTTAACAAACAACTCGAGAACTTGCTCATTGATTTTTGGTTTTTTGAAGGATTTAGCAATGAAGTCAGCAACGAGATATTCAGCAATTGTTCCATGCGTAAAGACATAACTGCTTCCTACTTTTGTCATCATCTCACAAGAATTGACTTCTTTTTCTGGCCATACATTGCCATTACTTTCCAAATCACAAGATTTAGCATATTCAGGGATTAAATTTTCCAGTGCAGCAGATTGATGGAACTTCCAAAAATTAAAGCACATTTCCAAGCTATTTTCATCTTTTGTGGATGTCCATACCTCACAGAGTGTTTCCACAAATCTTTTAAAGATTTTAGATTCTTTTAAATTCAAGTCTGAATTTTTATTATCTTTGAAGATGTTTGCAATCATTGTCAATAGTTGGGGAAGTCCAATCGTGTGTGACTGTAAACATAAAGCTTTCTCAACAAGAATCTGTGCTGCTTCACAATAATTATCGAAATTTTCTATCAAACAATTTTCAGCATCATCTTGAGTTGAGACTAGTTCTTTGTCTTTTAGGTCGGTTAGCACCCAACTTCTGACTATAAAGTTGATGCTTTCTTTTGCTGTAAAGTCATCAAGTTTGTAGGAATCTTCAATTTGAAGCTTTGACTGTAGATAATTTTGTAAATGATTTGTTGTTGCAATCCATAGCTGATTGCCATCATTTGAGTTGAATTTTGTGAGGATATTCATGATGAGTTCCATAAAATCAGACGTAAGTTCATCGATTCCATCAAAAAGAATCAAAACTTTGCCATTTTTATAGAAATTCTTGAAGAAATTCTTTTCAATTTCGCTCATTGATTTAAAGACATTGTCAGTCATGAATGACAAGAAGTCAAAGCTTTGTGATTCAAAGTGTAGTTCAAGCTTCCTTAAATCAACATAAGTAACCCATTTGCCTGGACTTTGGATACTCAAAACATTCACAAAGTCCTTCATAATCCAGCTTTTACCAGCTCCAGCCACATCAGATATCAAAACGAATTTATTTCTTTTTGTATCCATCAAAAAATCTCTTTCTGACAATTTAGTTCCAACATTAGAATTTTTAATGAAACTTCTCGACTGGAAAAGGAATTTTTCAACTGATTCACTCGCAAATTTTGTGTTAATTGAAATTGTTTCATCCTCAACTAGCAAATTCAACAGATTATCGTCGATTATTTCTGTAAAATTCCTAAAATTTCTTTCTTTTTGTTCTTGTGTCGCTAATTTATCAGTCAATGGATCGACATTCTTGCTCAGTAATTCATAAAGAGAAAAATTTGAGGTATTTTGAAAATTTATTTTCCTTTGAAGCAGTTCTTGTTGGGTTTGGACTGTTAAATCATTCCATTCGTAGTTTATTTCCATTTTTGTTGGGATCAATGACTGTTTTGACATCATTTGTAGCAGTTCTTGGCTATGATTTTGGTTAGACACAATGAAAATGAAATTTGAAGCTTCATTGACAATTTTTAATAAATCTTCAACAACTTCCTTTGAACAATCCACAAAAATATTGAAATTTGAGGCATTAGTCATTGATTGATCGAGGAAGTCTGCAATTTTTAAGTTTTTATAGTTTCCAGACTTGATGAATAAATTTTGAGCATCAATAAAATCTCCAAATTGACTATTGATGTGCTTATAAATGTCAATGAATAAAAACTTTGTAACATTTGTAGTCACAATAACTAATTTGCTGCTGACCAGTTCCTTAACATCCTTTGAATTCAACATTTTAAAATTCAGCGTAGAAATCTCATCCAAAAGTCCAACAATTCCATTCAACTTCCTCGCACATGTGCGGCTCTTAATACTAAACTTCTGCATTTCAGACCAGACGTAATTCCAGAAGAACCCAAACAATGGTTCATACTTTTTCTGAAGATGAGTAAGCTTTTGTTCATCATCATCATACTGTGCGAGAATTTGCATAACTCTCACAATTAATTCCCGATGGAAATTCTCACTTCTATATGATTTAAAAGCTGATGATATGATTCCATTGCATTCATCATCGGGGAATTCAGATTTATTTAAAAACCACTTGTCGGTTGCCTTAACTAGACTATCGTAAATTTTTATGGTATTTAGAGTATGTGTATAGTACGGATTCCCCATGTTTTCGTATATCATATTAATTACATGATGACAAAGCTCACGAGCTAATATTCCTTTAATTTGTTGGTCATGTGAATTAGTTGATGATTTGGCTGGGATGATGATGTATTTTACTGTATGAGTCAATGATTCTGAAACTATGGTAGTTGATAAGTTGGAATTAGGGACCTAAAAATTATTTTTATTAAAATTTACAGTTTAAAGTTCAATAGAAATTAAGATTAAAGTCAGACCCTAGCAGAAATTTACTAGTAATTTCCTAGTAATTTACTGGATAACTTTCCATTTGCTACTTGCTATTTACTAGTCAAAATCCAAGTTCAAATCATCGCCAAAGACCCGCATTTTCACTTGCTAATTGACTAGTCAATTCGCTTACAATTTAACTAGTAATTTACTAGCAAATTTGTAAAAAATTTAAATGAATATAATCGTTGATTTCCACGTGTTTTTTTTGATTTTTTTATTTGTGTAAATTATTGTAAAAGTATTAGTGCGTACTTAGTTTAATTAATTAATGTACACTAATACTACGAAAAAAATAAAAGACTTAATTTAATTAAGTCAAACACTGATGAACGCTTATGACTCGCACGCTAACCTGAGGAAGATAAATAATTAAATTGAATGTCTCATACAAATTTGGATCGACCTTATAAAGGTGATTTCTGCGCGCTCTTGTGAAGTATATGGCAAATGCCAAATTTAGAACAAAATTTTTTATGATGCAAAAATTTCTTTTTTTGATGATTTTTCGTAGGATTCGAACTTAAGAAGATTTGATCAAACATTTCTCATGGAAATTTGCTAGTAATTTGCTATTAAATAGTAAGTGTAATTTACTAATAGTAAGTTGTTTTAATAATAACTAGTAAATTGCAAGTAGTAAAATAGAAAGACTAGCAATTTGCTAGTTAGTCTCGCTAGGGAGAGTGACATAAAATAGGCATTTGGTAATCTAATGTCCAGTTTCTAATGCTTTACAGGCCACTCTACCCTAATCACAGTCACCTGCTCCTGTTCAAGGCTCATAGCTCTGATCAGGACCATAATTAACTTAACCAACTCCAAAACTCACCCCACAACTTTCAAAGTCAAAGATTATCCTCAAACTTTCACAAGACGCTGCAATATCCAGCATCTTACTGTCAAACTTAATCTTGTTGACATCCTCAATCCATTTCTTGATTTTTTCACGATATTCAGCTTCTTGTTGCTTATTGATTTTCCTGTTATTAATAAATGATCTTGCAGACAGTAGAGCGACTGAATTGTTAACGTCACCAAGTATCTCATCTACTTTCACTTTTTTCTGCTCATTGACATGTTTATTTGCTATCTTTAGATCTTCATCACTGAGAACTTCTTCGTGGCTGGCGAATACTGTCGCATTAAATCCAAGCGATTTAAGATAAAAATAAACTTTGAATTTTTTTGTGTCAATGGCATCGCTTAGTGCTGATATATTGAGGTGATTGTAGATTATTTTGAGGTTTGGGTTGTTGTTGATGAAGTTTATGATAACTAGGAAGTTTTCAGATTTTATTGCATCTTTAAAGCCAATTCTGTCCTCGACTAATCTTTGAAGTCTTTGATAAGTTATGGAATCAGGATTGAAACTTTGAGGAAACGGAAAATCTGACATTTCCAGCAAGTCACATAGAATATCGATCTGATTTAACTCAAATGCAGTTGTGGATATTTTTACTTGATGCTTGAAAGGAAGCTGTTGAATCAAGTGAGTGCAGTAAGTGATTAAATAGTCGATTACTTCCTTGTTCTTATTCTCAATGGCTGTTAAGAGTACTGATGGGTTTGAGTGGCTGAAACTTGAATTGCAGGATGAGAGACTTGTCACATCCTTGTTGTCATCTTGTATACCGTAGTCTCTTAGTGATGCCATTGAAATGACGTGATCTATCGCTGGTGTAATTTCTGAAGAGTCATGAATTTCATCAAAATCTTCATTGATTATATTTGATAGATATTTTTGAGACTTTATAAGTAAAGTTCTTCCATCACTCTCAAATGAAGCATCGAGTGCAGCTAGAAAGTCCTTCTTGGTTCCATGCCCAGCACATTTTTGGATTATCTTAATCACAAACTCATCAGACAGCTTCAAAACCCTTAAAAATCGTAAAATAAGAACTGAATGTGTGACTTTTGGGAGCTTTTCGACTAGGATATCCTCAAAATTGTCAAAATTTCCACTTAAAAATGAATGCATAAAGGTCGTAAAGTTTGAAACCTTCACAAAACTTTTGTCTTGCTTCTTTATGCTCAAAAAAATCTCTGACTTCTCCTCGTGATAATAAAATTTTGTAGCTCCTTCATTTTCTGATGTTAACTGCAAGATTAATGGCCGAACCTCGAATTTCTTTAGTGATTTTCTAATTTTATCCAGCAATTTGTTTCTAGTCAGCTTCTTCTGTACAAAATTTCCTTTGTAAAACTCAAAATTTGTATTATTAATCACAAAAATGAATAAATTTGGATATTCGTCAAGCTTTAATTCACTTAATGTTACTAACACATTATCCAACTTCCATTCTGATGTGAATTTTAAGATTTTGCAGCTATTCTTAGCCTCATTGTCGAGAGCACCTTTAGAAGATTTCAGAACAAATTTCTCATCCACCTTTTTAAAAGTTCCACTAAGGATATCTAATTGTAAACCTTGATTACTCATTTTAAAGATGTATTATTTTTATGTCTAGAGCCTTCAAACTTTGTACACCAAATGATGCTGATAAATTGAGAATTTTAATAAAATATGCATATTATGTGACGCATAAGCTGACTTATCAGGCGTTACTCATTTTTATTGTGTTAGAGGTTCTCGTGTCGAGATTGTTTTTAATTTATGCTGGTTGAGGCCTTATAAAGCCATACCATATCTCAGGGATTATCTAGTTTGATTAGGGTTAAGGTCTGATTTATCCTTACAACTATGTTTTTTGTGATTTGCTTGACACAAATTCTTGCTAGACTCGACTTTTTGAGAGGTCCTAGATGATGTTATTTTATAAAATTTGGTAAGAATCAAACCCACGTCCACCAAAACCAATTAAATCAAGCTTCTTATTTGAACAATCAGCTGCTGTGACATTTTGGCTAGAATTGACTGATTATACGGGTATTTGATTGCTCATGAAGGTTTAATAGAACCTGAACCTTGATTTAAAAAAGGAACAATAGATTTTGACTCTCGATTAAGAAGTTTTTGCTAAAAGCTTGCCTTCAATCGCCAATACATGCCTAAAAAGACTTTGTTTGACTCTTCTTCAGAATAACTGGATTCTAGCATCCAAAACATGACTCAATAATTCTCAAATTATTCACTGAAAGATTCCATCCATCCCGCATAAATCAGAATTAAAAACACTACATCCATCACATAGAGGCTTTACTGTGTTCTCCAATTTTTCGTTATCGCATCAGCTTCCATACGAAAATACTTTATAACAAAAAAGAAGAAATAAGTTTGATATCATCATATTACACAAAACATAATTATAGAAACATTTTATTTATACATAAAACAAGTACAGCAGCAGCAGCAACGAAAAAGATTCAGAATAAAATCATCAACAGAAGTCAGAAATGCTCGAATGATGAAAATAAAATGGAAATGAAATTCCCAGCAGAATAATGTGGGTTGCAAGTGTCTCTTTTTTCGAGCTATAAATCACTAAAATGGACATCGCAATGACTGTATTTATTTTTTATTCTGAAGATGAAGAGCGAGGACATGAATGTCCTTACGGAATAAATTAGTCAATAAAGTCGCCATGTGAAAATGATCTTAAAATCAATAAATTCATCATGAAATTAAAAAAAAATATGTGCCATAAAAATTCAATTTCGCTCGAGTCGTAAAAATCTTCATTATTTCCTAGCTAGTTACGAGGATATAAAATTAATAACAATAATTTCTTCGAGAATGTAAGCTTAAAGCTGTAATTGTGAGATAGTTGCAGTCATGACATTGAGATATGAGAATAAATTGCTAATAATTTTACGAGGGTATGAGATGATAAATGTTCAGTTCCGTTATGATATTGTGGTTGTTTCTATTTGCACGTACATTATGAATAGATTTTTTTTTTTTGTGGATGATGATTTTTTATGGAAATTGCCGATGTTTGCTTTTTCTTTAAAAGCATCCACTAGGTGGGGTGGTGATGTATAAGTAGGAATGGTTGAATGGCCTATTGAAGGTGACTTAATGTTGTTGAGCAATAAACAGAGATGTTTGTGGAGATGGTACACAAATCTAAGCTAGTTTGGATATTATTTTCCCATTTAGCCATGCTTTTGATGCTTCTTAGAATCCCATATTTTTTAATTTAAATTTCTAGTTGTTCTTCCCTTTTAAGCTTTGAAATTTACAAATTTTATCCTTCAACTATTCAAATCTGACCAAACTTGTATGGGATTAAAGCTATTCAGTATATTCAGGTGATTTATTCAGAATCATATGATATTTTTACTACAAATTCTGTCTGTCTAGCTCTGCAGAAAGCACAATAAATTTAGACACTCAGCATCTCCCAACGTTGAGAATCTTAGCAGAAGTCAACAATATTTTATGGCAGTCAGATTCGTGCGACACATTTACAAAAGCTTTAAGTCAAGTTGACACGAGAATGTTGAAAAATTAAAGAAAGTTTTTGTGTCTGGATTTTTGTTGAGCTTATAAAGCTTGAAGGTAAATTCTTGTAGGTTTGAGTTAGGAATTGTGTGCTGTTTTTTGATTTAATCGATTTTTTGAAGAAATAATGTTGAAAGTTTTTAAAAATGGATCAATACTGATTGAATACTAAGCCTCGTCCTCAATAGAAGAACTTCTAATTATTAATGTCTCGTGACTTTATGAGATATTCGTAGCTTTTCATCACAACCTTCCAAAATAATCAGTTTGACCAAATACCCATTAATGATAAAACTTAAAGACTTAACATTAATAGACCCTCAATTTTGGTATTAAAATTATCAACTTTTTTTTTATCTCTGCAAAAACTAAATTAATGAGAAAAGTTTAATTATTTTTGCAAACTATAAAAATTGTTGTTTTTTCGGATTTTAGGCACAAAGTAAGAGGTAGTAAACAAGTCAATGTAGCAAAGGATATCATGATGTATCAGTTGTTGCTTGTAGGTTGATAAAATCTTAAATCAGACGAGAATTTTTCAGTTTGTGTCAATCTTCAGATTCAAAATAAATATTTCGAGTTTACTTAACCCAAAATCCTCATTTTTACAGTATTTTCTAAGTCAACAAGGAAGAATCAGTCATCCTTTTATTGCCAGAAAAGCTCGTCATAAATTATTTTTCATTCTATTTTTATTTTTAAGGTAAAACTTAATAAAACATCAAAAAAGATAAAAATAATATGTTAACTTTACTTCCAACAACTAAAATAACAGTTGAAGTTTGAGTATGAAGACAAATATTTGAGGATATACACCAGATGCTTTTGCAAAGTTCTAAAAATATTTCTATACAAAACTATGCAATAAATTTTCATTATAGTTTTTTAAAAACTTCATTTATTTCTTTTACGACGCATAAAAGTAATCAATTCTGCTTTGTTTCTATTTAAGTGGAATTTACAGAGAAAAAGAAAAGCTGTAAAATGCATGCAAGATAAACAGAATGAAATTTATTTCAATTTAAAAAGAGAAGATAAAAATTGAGCTGAAAATTAATGAGAAAAATACTCGAGCTAAATAAATTGCAGGATGATAATTCAACTAGAAAATTAGAGACCTTTTCCTATTTCTAGCTTTGCTTGATTTACGTTTGCAGAGGTGTTGGACTGTTCATTTCTGATGATCATACTTCTTAAAGTAGCCTGGAAGGAGTCTCTAGTGCTTTGTAAATTATTTTAAGATTTTAAATCTAAATTTAAAAGTTTTTGGGCAAATTTAAAGGTGTTATTGAGATTTAAGGAGTTTAAGTGAGTCCAAACAGATTAAAATTGATCTAAAATAAGCTAAATTCATTTAAAGTCCTATTAAGGTTCAAAGAGGCTCTAAAAGGTATAAAAGAAGGTTTATTCACATCAAAAGGATGAAAAATGTTGCGCGGAAGTCCAAATGAGTCTGAGAAAGTCTAAGAAGGTTAAAAAGGCATAAAAAATATATCAAAAAGTTTCAGATGTTCCAAGAAGAAGATTTCTAGAACACAATCTATTTTGAGCCACTCCATTTAGTACTAGACTAGAAGTAGGGAACCTTAAAATTTTGCCAAGGATGCGGAACTGATTATTTACATTTTTGATCATTTTTGACAATTTTTGATATTTTCATCAGTTACGCACTCTTGAATTGTGCACTTGAGTGCAGCTAAGTGGTTTTGCAGTAAAATGCAGAACAGTGCTTACTTGGTACAAGACGTCATTTTTAAGCTGTTTTTTTGACAGTTTTAAAAGTTCAAGGATAACACATGGTAGATTGAAAGACGAAACCAAATATCAGAAAAAAAGACTCTGATAAGCTTTGATGTTTTCTGAGAAGATCAGTTTAAAAGTCTTGGTAAGAAAATGTCTCAAAATTCACAACAAATCCTAAAATACCAACTTCATTATAATTTTAAATCTGGATTTCAACCCTACATCTATCAAAGGTCAAGAAAAATATTGAAACATTTTTGTACAAAATATGAAATAAAGTGAAAAATTCCTTCGGGGAAATATTATCAAAAAATTATTTTTTGATATTTTTTATGAAATCAAAAGAGTTGAAATTTTACCTTCGAGGAATCATTTTGGATTAAGTTTTTAAGAGAGATCTATTGGAATTAGCAATTCTCAGATTCTAGTAACAAAACAAGTCTAGGTCCAAGAGCTGAGCTCTTAGTTTCTAAATTTAAACTTGCTCAGATTCAACTCTAATTTCATGAAATCTCAATCGTACAAACAGAAAAATTCCACATTCTCATCAGAAACTGCTCCACATTGCAAAAATAAAATGCAATAGCACACAAGTGTTAATTATGTGATAAAAAAAATCCTCTCTTTCTTCACCATTCGAGTAAACATTGCAAATAAATCAATTTAAAATAATATTATTTTATAGCTTAGTTTCATGATAATATTTCAATTCACAGGTTGTTCAGCATTCTTTCGTACTGTTTACTTTAACTAAGAACGTAAAGAAGTAGAAGATTAAGAAAAAAATGTGAAAAATAAGAAAACAAAGCCAAAAAAGGAAAAAGTCAGTGCAAGAAAAGAAGAAATCGTGTAAAAAAGAATCTAGATAAAGAATTAAGCAAGGCACACAGTGAAGTAGAAGAACTGAGATATAAAACACAAGAAAAACAACAAAAGAGCTATAATCAGGGAATTTCAGTGCTACATTTTCGCAACTTTTGTTTTTCTTAAAGGAAGTGAGAGCAAAAACAAAAGAAAGAATGATTGGATACGCCATAGAGATAAAAATAAACATTAAAGAGTGATTCTCAGTCGATGATTTAATGAGTACGACTGGATATGAAGTTCCATTAAATATTTATCATAAGTAGGTGTGTGCATTAAATTATAAATCATAATAAAGTGGACTAGAAAGTGAAAAGAAAATTATGGAGTACGAGAACAATAGTTTACGACAATTACGATGGAACGCGTCAAGCCATCAACACTATGCATCAAAATATCCATATATAGTCATGGATGACAGTCATTTTCAGCGCATATTAAACTTCACGATAGAAAAAGGCGATGCAATTTTCACTAATGGAACGAGCTTTAAAAATCACAATGAAATGAGTGGCAATTCCAACAATACGGATGAGTGCAATGCAAGCCATGAGCATGATGAATCGGGGTGGTTCAGTATGGAATTTCAAGCAACTCTACATTTTATGTATATAACAATTTTTATTATCTCATTACTTGGAAATGCTATGGTTGTGTTTATTGTCTGTCAATCATCGAGGATGCAAACTGTTACGAATTATTTTATTGCAAATTTAGCACTTGCTGATATGAGTATGGCTTTCTTTTGCATCCCATTCTCGTTCATCTCACAGTTTGTTCTGCAGTAAGTATCAATTTTTATTTTTTATTATATTGCTTGGTTTTATTGATCATAAAGTTGTAGCTGGCATTGACGTGGTGTGAATTGAACTTCAATGTGAGATAAATTTTACCCTACACTCATAAAAATATTTTTAATAATTTGTTACTAAAATCTTATTAAAAAGTTTTTAATGAGAATTATTAAAATTTTAGTAAACCTTATCAAACTTTTAATAAAACTTATCAAATTTTAATAAAAGTTTTTAAAATTCTACAGCGTTGTAAAACTGTTGTAGGTTTCCAAAATTGTAAGGTTTTCATATATTTTATATACTTCACAAACGCTCCAAGAAATGACTTATACAAAAGAATGTCTTAGTTCTCATACAAAGTCATATAAAATTATAAATTTCTTATGAGGCACATTAAGTGCCAAAAATCATGCAAAGTCTTATGCTTTGAGAAAGCATTTTAGTTAAGACTTGAAAAGCTCCATACTATAAATTAATTATACTATAAAGCTGTTTTTGTAAAAAAAAGTAATCCAAGAAATTTTAATGACTTTTTACTAAAATCCATGAACAAATTTAATAAAAATTATAAAAATACATCTTAATAACTTTTTACTAATGTTTAGTAAGAAAATTATTAAAATTTTAACAGTTTTGTAAAATTTGAATGCAATTTTGTAAAACCAAAACTTTTAATAACCCTTATCAAATTTTAGTAAAAGTTATCAAGATGTATTTTTATAAACTTTTATTAAACTTTTTCATACATTTTTAATAAAATTTATCAATTTTTTTTTATGAGTGTAGTAACCAAAATGTCCTATATAATCTTCCTTCGACGTCGATGTAACATTTAACAAAAGTGTTCCATCGAAGTATTACCCGAGCCTGCTTAGGATCAAATCCTATGAAAAATCATCAAAAAAATATTTTTTTGCTGGAAAATAATATTTGTTCTAAATTTAGCATTTGCCATTTACTTCACAAGTGCTCGCAGAAGTCACTATTATAAGTTCTCTCTAAATTTGTATAGGACTTTCAATTTATTATTTATCTTTATCAGTTTGTGTGTGAGTCATGGGCGTTCATCAGTATGCGACTTAATTAAATTAAGTCCTTTTTGTTCTTTTTCGTAGTGTTAGTGTACTTTAATTAAGTACACGCTAATACTTTTACAATAATTTACACATTTGGTTACTAGGGTAATATAAGATGTGTGGTCGGTGGTTAGAGATAGAGTAAGATAAGAACTGTGTGATAAACTTTAAGTGACTAAGGAAGGTTCCAAGCTAAAGTTGATAGGGCTTACCTCAATAGAGGAATACTACTCAGATTGGCACTGGGTTACATCATGAGCTTAGCATGCAAAACCGCACAATCTTTGCAATTCAAATGAAGCTGCTCTAATAGAATAAATAGACAAATTAACTCGATATCGATGAAAAAACATTAAAGGTCAGAAGAATAAATAATTAAAGCTTGTAACTTACCTTTTTTTTAAAAAAAAATTTGAGAGATCTTCTTAACAATTTCAAGTAATAATTAGTTCTCAAAAGAGGCTTAAAAATCAATTAATCATCATCGAGCTTAAAGTGTAGCAATCAATAAAGTATTAAAATTTTAAACAAATATTGAAGACACTTCAAAAAAAGATCTTTAAAGTCTTTAGTCATCAATCGAGAATATTCAGTCATTAATTTTTGTAATAAAGCAAGGTCAAGCGATTCTTTTCAAAGCAAAATCATTTACAAGGAAAATGCAGGAAAAGAAAAAAAAATATTTCAAGTACATTCTACGAATGAAAAAGAAAACTTTTTTAATATAACAAACCTCCAACCAATTTTGCTGCATCGTTAGCTTTTTCAGTGTCAAGTGACATTTAGTAAAACAACTCTAATTAGGAGAAGAAGTGAATGGGTGGCTAGGGGATGTATAGCTATTTTAGCACATTTTTGAAACCTTAGGTTAACGTCGGGGGGTTTGTCCCCCCCCCCCCTGGTTACGCGCATGGGTAGCTTAATAATTCACTTTTTTTCTCAAAGTCGGGAACTAAACTTGATTTTCTGAGGATCAGATGTCTACGCTTAGGCTACCAAAAATCAAGAAAAATCATAACTTTCGTAATTTTGTCGGGGAAATTCCAAGAAAAAGATTTTTAATTTTAATGATTACTACAGCTCAATATTGAAATTTGTCTCAATCTACTTAACTCTAGTGGACTTTACGTTTTATTGTCAACAACACAGATTAATTTTCATTCATTAGTGCAGCTTCTCATCTTCAAGTGCAAACTTAGTTCTATTCTTGAAAGAAAAGTATTAAAATAAATGAGAAATTTCCTTTCGTGCCATTCAGCACTGTAACCTGCCAACAAATCCTGGTTAAGCATTAAATTATTGAAAGTTTTTTTGTTGTTCATTTAAAGTGGCACTAAAATGACTGTGCATGAAGTTGACATAAATTCTCATTTAGAGTTTTTCTTTACAATCTTGCAATGTGCAGTAAGGAAATTGTAATGCAAGAAAATGGAACTTTTTACAGCACAATAAGGTTTTGATGAGTTTTTGTTTTTCGTGAAATTCTGCATTTATTAAATGAAATTTTATAGTTTTTTCAAGCTAGCAAAGCTTTTATATTATGAGAATCTCAAAACCTTGAGCTTCTGCTGCTTGGTTCTTCCATAGTAGAATGTTCAAAGTCACCGGCTGGTATTACCCAATCAGTACAAATCTACAACTTGTTACACAAATCCCCACAGAAACTCGTTAAATCTGCTTAATTAAATTTCACAAAACATTTGATTCAATTTCATGTCAAACAGCTATTAAACATCCTGACAACTGATTTTATCCATGTTAAAAAATTCTTTCTCACTTTCCATTTACAGATATTGGCCTTTTGGCTCACTACTATGCAGGATAGTTAATTACACGCAAGCCATAAGTGTGCTCGTTAGTGCGTATACGCTAGTCGCAATTAGTATCGACCGGTATATTGCTATTATGTTTCCGCTGAAGCCTCGCTTGTCGAAAAGGTGAGTAAAATTAATGGAGAATTTTTTTTTTTGGTGACTTTTTCGTCGATTGAGTTTTTTTTTGTGTGGAGGTTTATCAAGTTCTATGGATTAATTAAGAATTTTGTAGTTTTAAGGATATCTTAGTAAAACCATGGGGGAATAGGAACACATCTAAGTTGGGCCAAAACCTCTTAATCCCAAATAGTCAATATTTACGATCTTAAACCACATAAAAGCATCCCAAAATGTCATTAATGACGTCAAAAAAAAAATCAACATTCGCTCCATTATTCATCAACATAATTTCTCATGTCTTTATCAAATTTAAATCCAATTACTTTTTGATCATGTTAAAATATCGAGAATGAAGCAACAGTGCGTAGAGTAAATTGACATGTCAACAGCACATGTGAGCATGTAGAAGTAAATTAAGTTAAAATTCTACTTAAATGTTTTCGTTGCTGCTTTTTTAGATTTTTTTTTAATTTTGATAAGAAAATTGGAAAGAAAGTTCGTGGATGATGAAAGATGTCTTTGGGATGCAAAGGGAGTTGGAGATTTAATGGTTTAATAATTGGGAATATATTGCTGGAAAATTAAATTTTGAAGGAAATTGAGTTTTTAAGCTTTCAAACAGAATGCAATATTTTTTTAAAAAAAAAGTCGTCACACATCCTTCAAAGCTTAATGCCGCTTAATGGAAGAGCCACTGGATTTTTCCAATTTAATTTTTTTTTAAATTTTTTGAATTTTAAATTTTTAAATTTCTTAACAACCGTAATCCAATTATCCAGAATAAAAGTTCTATTAAACAGTCAATTTAAAAATCCTTAGCATCACGTTGATTTACAACAAATTTCATGCTGCATTGAGCAATACTCTACATATTTATTCCTACAGCTTCCTTTACAATTCAATTCTTTATTGGATTAAAAATAAATCTTTCCTATTTTAATTGTTAATCCTTTGCATCTCCACATAAGCTTATATTTTATTTCTCAATCAGCAGGGCAAAAACTTTCAATGTAGGTCATTATTAGTTACTTTTTCATCTTCTCTGCTATTCGTTGCACTTGAGGAGTAATCAACTGTATTCTACTAGAAATTGATGCACGATTGATTGATGTTTGTTACTATAAGGATAATTGGATTGATGCTTATCTAATAGATAATTATTCTATTGATTTAATACAAGTGGTTGCTCGTAAAGTCTAGAAAAACCGTTACTAGTTCAAATAATTTAAATCCGTTAAATAATCATCAAACTTCGTTGATTGATTTATCATCCAAAAATTTGTATTTATTAAATCGATTAAATTACACAAATTGAATCCAAAGATCAATTCATTACAACTGCAAATGCAGTGTCATCTTAAATTAAGATTTTTCTTTTAATGTTTAAATATTATATTTTATTATTGTTTACAAAGATGGCTAATAAACATACATACATACATACATACTAAAGGAATTAAAACTAATCAAGTTTAGTCCGAATCTGAACATTTTGTAGAACTGTCAGAGTAATGCAAGAAAAATATCAAAATTTTAAGACCAACTGTTTGAAATTAGTTTTCAGCTAGACGCAACTTAATAACACAACTTAATCAGATATCCACTAATTTCATCTTTGAAATTCCAAAGTTTAAAAAGTGTTAAACTGAAATTGACAGCAGAAAATCGTATCGTCTACTTGCTATTTGATTCTGTATTCCCCGCTGAGACTTGTAAAGTTATCTTCTTATTCTGATACACATAACAAGAACTAAGGTTGAAGTCTTTATTTCATCTGAATATCGGAATCGATTGAGATCTTAAAGCTCCTTTTTCTTGGTTCACGAATATTTATCTTGAGAATTTATGAATGTAAAATATTGGAATTGAGTTTCACATTTGTTGATTCTCATGTATCTCAAAAGGCTTTGAGTTTTGGTTAAAATATCGTTCATGATTTTGTAGAAGTACTGAGACTAGTTCATTTGAGTGAATTGATGTTTGTGTATATTTTGTGGAATTCTAGTGAAAATTTTGGTTTTTTGCGTATCTTCTGTTGAAATTTGTGAATGTAATCAATGTGTACACTGTGATTACAATCATGAAGGTTTCGTTGATGAATTCTATTGAAAATAAAGTCAGTATCTAGCTGAAAATTGAACATAGAGATGGAAAATTGGATATCGTTTCACAAAATCAGTGTAAAATGTTATCAAATTGGGGAAGAACTTTACGTAATCGTTTTCGGATCTCACAGAATTGCATTAAATTTTCATTGATTAGTTTAGTTTCTAAATTAATAAAGTTCTAAGTGAGCAACTTAATGAGCAAAACTAAGCTGGTTTGAAATGAGATTTTAAGTTCAGAAAGTTGACTGAACACAATCTTGGATTCAACTTTTAAGTTTGTTTACCTTTTACCAATTTAACTTAAAAATCATCTCCATAGATAATCTAAATGATGAAAAACTCTTTTACAAAATTTTCCAATTTCATTTAAAACTTCCCCCTACATGTATTTGTAAACATAGATAAACTTTCGGATTTTCAATAACAAATCCTTTATTTTCGTACATATTCCACGAATAAATTGTGCCCCAGAGAAAAAATAAATATTCTTTGTTAAAAAGCAGCACTCCTCGAACAAAAGAGAGAGCTTTTTGGAAGAAAACATTGATTACAATACGAGGAAATAAAACTTTTCTCGTTTACCTTCTGCATCCTCAAAAGACACGAATTCAAATGAAAGAAGAAAATAATGTTGAGCACGAAACTTGTTTTTGGCATCGTGAGAACATTTTTATCCTTTTTGCAGTCAATCTTGTTTTTAGTGCTTACGACTTTACACTTTTTACAAGGAAAGTTGATATCAAGTCATTGTGATATAAAGCAATAGCATCGAAATTCTTTTCATAGAAAACGCTACAGATGATTGTGGAAAATTGCTATACATTTCATTGAGAGAAACTAAGCAGATAAATAAATTGAACATGAAGCTTTATGCTATACTGTTGAAAATTTATGTATGTAATTTAATAGTTTTTTATATGAAGTTAAGAGCAAATAACTAAACGGAAAATAATATTGAAAAATTTATGTAGCAATTCACTGCTTTGTATTATTAAGTTTGAGTGAGTAACTGCTGAAATAAATAGAAGTGAAAATTCTATGTCAAAAAATGAAATTATTGTCAATTTTAGAATTTTTAATAAAGTAGCAGCAAGGCGTGCAGAGGAGATGATTCCTTCACAAATATTGAGACAAAAAAATATTGTCCAAAAATGACGAACTACATCAGAATGCCTTTTGTGAACAAATCAGATTAATCTTCATTCAACAATCAATTTTACTGAATGTTATCAATATCTCTCTGAATTCAATGCATTTCAATTCTCTATTTCTATTCTTTGTTGAACAATCGTTCTCAATATTCAACTACTTTGCTTTCATATCTCTTTTATATCTTAATTTCACTGTTCATTGCATCGCTGAGCTAATACAGTCATTATGGTTCACTTCATAAATCGTTAAGAGATATAACAAGCAGATATAAAGAGCATAGTTTGATATTGCAAATCAGAAACTCATTGAAAATTAATCAAATGAGAATGAAGTCAGAATGGCAGTTGAATATTGTGGAATCTTTAATTTTCTGATGCTGAATATCGTTGAAATGAAAAATTCTTGAATTTTTAAAACTTCCTTTTATATTAAATTCTATTTTACGTAATTAACTTATTTGAATTGCTTCCCAACAAACCTACTCAAAATCGCAATGCAGTCAGTTCATTTAATTCATTTTGTTTTTAAATAATTCACATTAAATATTCAATTTAAAATTTAATGAAACAAAAATATGTTTCGAATTTTTATATCAAAATTCTCAAGTTTCTCATACAGCACAAAACAAATATGTGAAGCTGAAAACACAACAAAAGAACCGAATGTGGATTTTTTTTATTAAATTAAAAACTTTTGAAATTTTTTTGTTCATTTTTCTGAAAAAAAGGTCATAAAAACATTCGGATTTTAGATATGAAACAGTATTTTGGTAAAAGATTTAAATTTTTATTTCCTTGTTTCTTGTGTTCATTTATACAGAATTAATCTTTAAATCAATTAAAATTTGACGATCATCAAATTATCTCAAAAAGATTAATTTTCCAGGTCTAAAACACTCACATGCTCCAAACAGAACCAAGAAAACTTTTTCAATTACTCTTTCAGCTTATCTCATTCGAAAATTGCAAAAAAAGCATTTCCTTCCGATTTTTACTCATAATAAATAAAAAAAAATCTTTCCTGTAAAAAAATTTCCTTATAAAATGTGCAAAACTCTGCTTAACGTCAAAAAAATAATTTTTGTTCCTCTCATTTACCTTCCTCAACCATATAAAAATTGTTTATCTGTATTTGACGTTTTAAGTAGCTTATAATATTAAAATAAATAACGATTTTATTCTCACATCTTTCATCTTCACGGGAAAAAAATAAGTGATTTTGAATTGGGGAGAGCCTGAGAATCTTGAGGGTTTAATAAAAAAGGAAGGAAACAAATTATCATCTCAAATTTTCTCATTGAGATTCAATGATTATGTGAAGAGCTTTTTTGGCTGAATTATAAGTAAGTGGGATTAAGAATTTGCTTAAGCATTATTGCTTTGTTGAACTTTGATTCGTTTTTTTGAAGGAAGAGTTTTTGGACAGGGACAATAGTTTAGAAAATGGAACTGACTGCAGAAAGAACTGATTAGTCACTTTTAATAATTTTTATCAGATCCAGTTATCATTATTGAATTTCATTTAGAATAAGTCGTAGTTAAGGATTTAAAGATTCACTTATGACTTCTAATATTTAGGGGGGTCTAGGATTTTATGACTTACTTACTTACTACGCTGGCCGTACAGATCAATTGTGATCCATGGCTTCTCTTAGATGACGCCTAAAGCTGGTTACCGTTTGTCAATCACTCATGCCAAATGCAATACTTTAAATTTTTGGATTTTGTGACAGTAGAAAAAAATGAACTTTTTTCCACAGATAGGGGAAGGGGGGAAGAAGGGGGGTTAAAATGTGTTATAGAATTTTTCACAGGGGGGTACAGAGGTTTGGTATCACGTTGGATGCGTCTCAGCCTGTAGCAACTTTCGTTCATACATCACTTTTAATTTTACATCGATTTTGAGTTCTAAAACACGTGTTCTAGGTGAAGGGAAACAATGTTACGTAAAAATAATCCAAAAGTAAATAAAAAGTTGAAAATGAAAAAGTTTGTAAATTTAGGGTTTAAAATAAAAGGGGGGAGTAAATTTTATTTTATTTATCTTAGAAATATTGTCGATTAAAAAGTCTTGATTTAATTCTGTTTTCATAATAATTTTTTTCCTGAATTCACAATTCAACATCCTCAAATATTTACTTAATTCCACCTCATTTGACATTTATTAAAAATATATAAAATTAAACATTTATTCAAACAAAAAATTAAGCATGTCAATCCATCATACAATAAATCCATAATTATTATATAATTCAAAAAAGAATTACAATAGCTATAAATAGATGACGCACCAATTCCAGTGATTAAAATTATGCCATTACTCATCATAATGTGCGATAATTTTTCACTCACAAAAAAAAATTGAGCATAATGACGATAAGGAGGCAGCGCATTGAATATTTTTAATGTCTCACGAATTATTCGCAAGCTGATATTTTATGTCAATGAATAATTTATAGCATCTAATTATATGATAACTTAATGGATTGCATGAATAAAAGAAGAGTGACTCACACTCATTACACATTTGTTGATTTTTTATTGCTCTCACGTGCTGTGCGCACTTTTTGATGGCAGGTGTTTGACTGTGAACTTTTGAAAATAATTTATAAAAGCATAATTGTGGATTGATGGGCAGCTTTTGTATTTTTCCACAAAGAAATTTATTGATGATTAAATAGAGCATTTGAGATTGTGTTTAAATGTCAAAGTAATTTGAGAATCATTCATGTGAATATGGAAGTCATAAATAATTGATTTTCAATAAAATTTATGTCACTTCCAGCTGTGGCAAAGTGAGTGTAATTTAAAATTGATCAATATTTGTCGATTACATTAATTTTAAACATTCTTAACCCGATCGGCACACATTGAAATGTGAAATGAAATGTGTGTAAAATATGATTAGAACAAGTGTTTGCCGCGTGGTTGCCATTGCCTATCAACCCACCTACCGTGTGGCAAACTTTTCAATGTGTGCCGATCGGGTAATCTATCGTCATATGAACATAAAGTCAAAGACTTTATTTTCTCCAGCAAAAATCACAAAACTCTTTTCAACTCTTTAATTGTCATCAAAACTTTAAGTAAACTACAAGAAAAAAATCTTTGAACAATCCCAATTTCACTACAGCTACTATAAAGACGCTTTACTGCTTTAAACTTAAAGTTTTTTTATTTATAAGCTTTGCAAGCTCACATCATAAAGTGTGAACAATGCTTGAGAAGTTGCTTACGGTTTTGTGTCTGACTTGATATGTGTAATTTTAAAAGTTTGAGTGTTTTTGGATTGTAAAAACTTTCTCGTTGAGGTTTTATTGTGTGTGAAATTCGAAGATAAAGTTTTGAGAGATAACATGAAGGAGCTTGTGGATGGGAATTTGACGGTTAAAGTTAGAAAGCGTAGTTGAAGAATTACAGTAGATTACGGAGATGTATTCTGAGATCTACATTATTTTGATCTATTTTAATCGTTTTTGATCAATCTACATCCAAAAAAGGGAGCTTGAGAGTAGAATCAGGAGTATAAATCTAGCAAAAAAGTCATCAAAAATTATTCAAAAAGAACCTTAATCATTTTACATTAATAATCCATTACTTTATTTAAATTTCATTCACAGATACGCAAAGTTAATTATATCAATTGTATGGGTTATTGGTAAGTCTGGCAAAGTCACAAGCTCTTATTATTCATGATTACAAAATTGTCTTTTTTTCCACAGCTTTCGCAACAGCCTCACCAATACCGATCATGTCAACCATCATACAGCCTACAATATGGTTCCAAAAATGTGATAGGTGAGTTCCGATTCCATTCATAAGTCGAATTAAATTAGATCTGAGAAAAAATTTAAATCGCAAAAGATGTCTCTAAGTTTTCTACCAAAATGCTGCTTGTTCTTGTTGAATGCTAAATTTAGAATCCTAATTCTGTGCTTTACGTCATCAAAATTTACGCATCACAAGCTTCAAAAATTGTTTCTGAACATTTTGAATTATTAATCGAACAAAGTTGAAGATAAAATGAATTTTGTTGGATATTTATTTATAGCATGTTTACTACTTTTCCGGACTAAGTTACTGTTGATGCTTTGGTCTGCTTTGGCATTTTGTTTTAGGAATCGATTTGATTTAAAACCAATTCAGTGAACAATTTATAGAGCTAAATATCCTATTCAATTTCATTTTTTGGCAACTGAAGAGTCGCCGCAAACAATGCAAATAGCTTTTATGTCACAAGCTTCCAGAGTGTCTAGTAAAGCGATACTTAGCAACAACTTCACTAAATTTGAAACAAAAGCTTTGAATTTTTAAATCAGGAATCAAATAAAGAATTTCCAAGAATCATTTCATTTAACAAATTTTATGTTACTTCCTCTCCATTCTTTATTCAAGTTAAATTTCCCAGAAATTGTTTCCAAATTAAACTTTTAAAGCAAACAAACTGGATAAATTCAACAGATTGGAAGTTTGCAGAGTGAAAATTCCAACAAAAAAATCTTTATTTGATCTGAAAGCATCCAATTAAGGACTATTCTCAAACAAAGAATAACATTATTTACTTCTTCTTCTTCAATATAATTTCCTTGGCAACAGAATAGCTTTTTTGTAATTTTTCAAGCATTAAATTCTTGTCCATCTGTTTACATTAATTTTTTTTTTCACTTAATGCAACAACAATAAATCACATTGAGATAATGAACGTGACGTGATATTGTGTTAAATGTTTTTTGTTTCTGACTTGCTGACTGCTTTTTCGTTTATTTTATCGGAAAATTCTCATGAAAGTTTAATGGGAATTTAAAGAGAGCTACTTGTTGAATTTATATTTTGTGAATTGCTTGGATTTTTTTACCGACTAGACATCAAATTTTGGTAAACTGGTGCTCATAGTAATGCTTTAGACCATTCGAATCGCTCAAGAAGTGTTATGTCGTGGATGTGACTTTAAAATTATCACTTATGGCACATTACTCTGAGTCTTTAACTTGTGGCATATAAAAGGATGAGAAGAACCCTATTTTGATGACATTGCTGTCTGTAGTCTTCAAATTAAGGGCTTATAGCGTAAATTCCTTGAGTAAATTGATCAGAAAATAACTTTAAAAGATTCCACTGTCCATGACTGCTTGTTTCTGCGAAATTTTCAAAACCTAAGCTTATTAGACTGACTAGTTCCTTTATTTCACAATTCTTGACAAGGCAGCAATAAAATAACTAATGATCAGTCAGGAAAAGTCATCTCAAATCCCATCTTATCAAATTTCCTTCTTAGAAAAATGTTCTGACCCAAATGCATGAACTGCCATGAAATCATCCACACTAGACAAGCAACAAATTGCTCTCACAGGTGCATGAACTAAGTCATCAATCCAGTAACTATATAAAGTCACAAAAATAACATTCATAGCTATCAATCAAACACTGTTTATTGTCATCATGTACAGCAAATTTGATGTCCTTCACACTCACCAAATATATCCTCAATTTTTCACAGAAATGGGCCATCCAAAACAGAGACGAGAACGATAAAATTTATGAAATCGCAACACGTTCCATTCTTTCAATATCCAACAGAAATAAAACATTCGTATCACTGGTTATAAATTTATTGTCGTCATTATTATTTTGCTGTAGACATTTATGGCAGAAAATGCTGAAATTTTGTTTGGCTGTAAATTATGTAAAAATTTTGTTACTGTAAAATTTTCAATATTTATCATTGGGGTCGTTCATAAATGACGGGTATTAATAAATAGGATTTAAATAGAAATTTCATGAATGTGAAAGAGCAATTGGCCTTCTTAAGCTTTTGTCTGAGCTTTTACTTTGAGCAATATTATAAACCCGAGCAACATATCCTGTCTTTAGAATACCATCACGTCTTCAAGACAATTCAACGCTCACCTTCGTATAAAGGCAAACAATTAAAGCTTGCCTTAGTGTGCATCTCGGGAACTAAACCTTACTGTGTAAACAACAATTTGTTATTTTTTCAAAGCTTTAACCTTAAAAAAAGAAATTTCAAAAATGCTTTCATGACAAACAAATTGAGAATATGTGAATATTATTGAAATAAAGCCTGATAACATCTTCGAGCAAATGATCATAAACAAAGCAATTGTAAAATATGCTCGAATGCTCACGAAATGTTTTGTTTTTGAAAGCTCTTAGAAAGCTCATGAAACGATTGCTCGAAGTGAAATTTATGTAAAATTTTAATAATAAATTATTCATAAGAATACAAATCATTAAAATGACATACAAAGTAATATTCACATTTGCTTGAATATTGCACATATTAAGTTTCATAAAGCCACAAAACCAAACTGAATAATTTTGATATTTTGCTTGACGTCATTGCTGATTTTGTTTACAGTTTTAATGTTTATGAATAAATTTTTAATTCTGGATGTTTTGTCAATTATTTGTTTTGATATTATAGCCTGGATCCCTAACATTTCTAGTTAATAAAGTTCATATTATGCATATGTTCTGATATTTTTAACTTAGTCCCAAACAGAAAAGTTGCCAGAAATTTGTCAAAGGCTTTATAATATTTACGACTTTAAGTTCCTTCCAAAATTCAATAAACTTAAAATTCATCGCAACAGCCTCAAATGTTTGAATACAAAACATTGAAAAGCCATCATCGTCTCTCATATCACATTAGCTTCCCTCCGGACTGTATACATTTCAGGCGTGTTTTAAAATTCTTCTCAGAAAATTTAATTTTGACTGCAAAAATCGCTCATTGAATGCCAAATTTCTAATTTTTTTGTTCCTAATTTTCCTTCCAGATATTTTTGTATGGAATTATGGAATGAGAAGGAGCACAAGGATTATTATTCACTCGTCCTTATGTCGCTACAATTCATCATTCCATTAGCTGTGCTTATTTTCACATACACTCGAATAGCTGTTGTGGTCTGGGGTAAGTAAAGTTCCAAAATAAAAATTATTTACTTATTTGCTAAAGACGTCATTAGCAGTAGAAGTGGGTAACATAAGCAGGGTATAAATTTTTTTCTTAGAAATTGAAAGCTTTATTGTGTTCTTGTTGGGACGAAGGTTGAATTTCTATGATTAAAGAGTTTGAAGGCTTTAAAGAGCTTCTCAGTAGACTAAGCTGTTTTCAAATTCTGGAAGAATCTCAGGAGGAGACAAGAGCTTGTTTCTGAAGCAATCCGAGGCCATTCCTTAGTCACAGTCAATTTTATCTTACTTTAAATTGAAGTGTCTTTTAAAAAAGTTTTTGAACTTTAGAAGATCGCATAGACTCTCCTAGATACGTTTAAAAAGCTTAAATCAAAATTTCCAAACCAAAATCCTTCAAAATCTTCTCCAAAGTCGTCATAAGTCAATCAGATTTTGTCACAAACCAACAACATTGCCTGAATACAATCAATATCAGCTTGCTTGAATTCACAAGTCTCTGCAGTCATCATTCGAAATAAGCCTATTAAATTAAGACACATCTTCTTCGCCTATCTCATTAACTGAAAACCAAGCTTTTCGAGAAAATTGTCACATGCTGTTTACTGCTTTTGCCATACGACTTTGATTGAAATTCATTGGAATTTACAGATGATAGACTTTAATCCAATCAATTCGCAATTTTCGGTCAAAAAAAGCTTCTTTAAAACTTTTTGGAAGCTTTTTAAAGCTGAATAGATTTCCTTTTAATATTATTAGTAAGGAAGTCGTGACAAAATTATTTTGTGGACATATTTCATTTTTTCACATAATCGGATTTACGTGATTGAAATTTTTTCTAGTGTAAATCACAGCTGGTTCTGTTGTTTTGACTTGGATTGCAAAATACATTAAATATTAATTTTATAAAGCTTTATTAGATAAATAATGACATTTGAGCTTTAAAGATCAGAATAGAATCAAACCGCCATCCCTAACCTCCTTTAATAGCTATAATCATGTCACAGATCAATAAATTCATATCAAAAACGACATTTTGATTAGTCTCGTTCATCAAGGCCACTTCTGTGATATTTATATCCAAAATATGTTCATCGTAACATGTTCTATTTCCATCATGTTCTGTATAGACTTGAGGCAGATACAATAGCAATGAAGATGATAATGGAATGAAATTAAATCGATAGAATTGAGTTTCAAGGGCACTTCTCGAGATGAGAGTGCTTACATTAAAGTGACGATAATGATGATGATTACAGTTAAAAGATGATAGAGATAAGGAGGTGTGAGATGGAAATGTTGAGCTTAATATAGAATTTTAGATGTGTTATTATAATTACAACATTAATTTTACGTACGAATGGGACGGTAGAATTTATTGAAGCTATTAGCAAGCTTTTAATTACCGTGTCCTAATGAGCGACGTTGTAAGAACTTCAAGAGGATGAGGAATGACTAGCTGACTTAATAATATTTATTCATATTCTCAGATTCCACAAAAACTATCCCGGATGGCACAAGTCGCTTAATTGAAAAGAAATCCGGTGCCCAATCGGCATGGTGCTGGCTTCGATTTAAATCCAGCACCACGCCAGATTCACAATAGCTTGGTGCCGGATTTCTGATCGATTAGCCGACTTGTGCCATTCGGGTATCCTTCCTTCAAAAGTCTCTTCCAGTTCATTCGCACACAACTTGAATATAAATATGTCCTTATTTATGTATTTTCTACCAGCACCTTGATAAAAATAGAACATAATTTCTTTGTTCCTAAGCATCTTATTCTTCAGACATTGTTATCTGCAGTCATTGTGCCGAACATAACTCGCTTGTTTAGCTATAAATCAAAAAGTCAATAAATAAGAAATGTTAAACAAGAAAAAAATGTTGTTTCCGCTGTCACAAAACGGCTATAAATAAAGGCTAAAATATTCAAAAAATGAAGAAAGAGTCTTTGACAGAATGAAAGGACGCAGTTTAATGGAACAATTTTTTTTTCTTGTGTCAGACACATTTATGAGGAGCAGAATATCTAGTACTTGTGGAGAGGAGGGAGTTAAATCTACCCCTTACCTCAACTTCTTTTCTGTCCCTAGTTATAAGCATAAGTCAACACGTGTTCATTCAAGTCCCAAAACCCTCCAAAAAAGCTTTCTATAACTCAGCAAAATCATCCCATCCAGTTTAATGAAGAAGAAAGCTGTCAATAAGAAGGTCAAAGAGGAATTTATTGTTTCATGATGAAAAATTTTCTCATTATTAAAAATAAGATGAGGGTGCTTGACGTCATGATAAAAAAAATTGGATTTCAGTTGAGGGGCCGTTCACTTATGACGTCCGACATTTAGGGGGGGAGGTCTAGGATTTTGTGACAGTTTAAACAATGGAAATTTTTTTCTATAGAATTTTTGTGACAGAGGGGGTGGGGGAGGGGGTCTAAAAATCAGGTTTTTTGGTCGACGTCATAAGTGAACGACCCCTGAGAGAGCTTTAAGAAATGTTTGTAAAAAGACGAGGTAGACGACGAATGAAATGATGAGGAAAGCATTTAGATTGAAATGATGATGATGAAAGAATGTGAATGAAGATAATAAAGGCATTCATTAATCTAGTGTTTCTCGAGCTGATTCTAAGAAATACATAGTAAAGGAAATGATTGTAAGTAAGATTCTCTGGAGTAACTTAACGAATAGTTCTCAGAAGCTTTTATTGAAGAGTACCTGAAATGTTGTAGTAAAATGCTGGGATGATTGAGATGAACTTTTGTAACACTTTAAACACTTCTTTAACTTTTTTGAAAATAACGAAATTTACTCTTTAATAAAATTAGCTTTTAAAGCGAAGCTTCACTTGTTAAGTTTTTGAAACAAAGCTTTATTAGTCGATCCTTTGAAGAAAAGTTTGTTTAGTTGAGCTTTTGAAGCAAAGCATTATAAGTTGAGCTTTTGAAGCAAAGCTTTTTTAGTCGAGCTTTTGAAGCAAAGCTTTCCCATTTGAGCTTTTGAAGCAAAGCTTTACTGATTGAGCTTTTGAAGCAAAGCTTTACTGATTGAACTTTTGAAGAAAAGTTTATCAAATGAACTTTTGAAGCAAAGCTTATAAAATGAGCTTTTGAAGAAAAGCTTTACTAATTAAGCTTTTGACAGAAAATGTTCGAGCTTTTAAAGCATAGCTTTAATCGTAGAGCTTTTTACAGCAATGCTTTAATCGTAGAGCTTTTTACAGCAATGCTTTAAAAATGCCTTAAAGTAATGCCTTTTAAAGAAATACTTTTAAAGCCAAAAAGGAAGAATTTTTTAAGAATTCAAAGAAGAATTTCTTCAAAAATCAATCCAATTTATTCAAAGCTTTATTCAAAATTTAATTTTAATAAAATTACATTTTAATCAAAAAGGTTGCCTTAATTCTTAGTAAAATTAATCATTCTAATTCCACATAATTCACAATTATATCGTTCTTATATCCACGCTGAAGTTAACCAAAAATTTTAATTATTTTAATGACAAAAGTCAAATTTCACTTCAACTTTTCAATTTATTTTTAATCTTTAGCAATTTATATCTCAGCTTCTTTTTCCACGAGAAATTCTTTAATGATTCTTAGTTTTTTTATATAAAATACTCCAAAGTCTTCGCGCTTCTACTATAGCTGCTTTAGAAAGAAGTCAAGATGTTTTGTGATAAAAATAAAGTCACGTGTACGAAAGGAACAAACAAGCTATTCTATCGTAAAAATTTAATTTTTTGGCTTGAAGAAAAATGAATAATGTTTTAAATCAAGAGATTGTTCGTGCCTTAAGGTGAAATGTTTTAGAGGAACTGTTTAAAATAAGATTATTACAATTTTGGGAAGATTTATACTCATGCTACTAGCTTTGCATTGAATACACATTAAACTGTAACAAGGGTGGGTTGTTTATATGGAGCAGGGTATGACTGAGGAATAGGGGGTCATGAATATAGATTAGAGTTAAGAAAGTGAGAACCCCTCATATATGCTTACTATTCTCATTCTACTGCTTTTTTCTTAAAATAAAAAAAAAATGCATAAAATTCAAACTTTCCAACCCTGTCAAAAAAATCTACTCAAAAATTAATTAAAATATTTTTCTTCAACCCCTCCTTTAATTCTAGGTAAAAAGCCACCAGGTGAGGCTGAAAACCTCAGAGATCTGAGAATGGCGAGATCAAAACGAAAGGTGAGTGTTTTTTCAGTTGTTAACCTTTTATTCCATCCTTCAACGTCTTAAATTTCTTTAAATCATACCAAAAAAATATATTCGCTTGTTTAATGACTTGCTACATAAGTTTCAGGAGAAACAAGAAAGTAAATAAATATTGTGAGACGTAAAATGAGTGAGAAATAAAAGAGAAGACAAAAAAACTTTGTTATTTCCAATCGAAAGCTTTTTCTCAAAAGCTCTATTGTGTTTGTTTCGTGGTGCAGAATAATTGAGGGTCCGGCGAGTTTGATGTCAATAGAGCAGAATAAACGTTAATGTTTGCTTATAAAGAAACAAAGTTTGTGAGCAAACAGGATCGAATTTATTGGAGGGTGTCCGAAAAGTTGCATTATTGACATTATTTTGGGTTATGAGATGGGATTTTTTTAAGTTTCTTTATTGTTTGGTTGCTAAAATAATTACAAATAAAAAGAAAACGATTTAAAGATGTAAATTTAAAGAAAACTTTATGGATTCGCCATTAAGTACTTTTCCCACAGACCATCCCACTTAAAAAAGTAATTTCCATTAAAACCTCAATTAAAATCATTTATTCATAATAAAAACAATCTTAACTGAGCAAAAAACGTGGCACAAATGAAGCAAAGAAAACCAATAAGCTTACATCGTATCTACAAGCTAATAAACAACCCATTCAATTAAGAAGCCATCCAATGCGATTTATAACTCACGATTTCAGCAATAAAATATCTCTAAAAATCAGTTTTATTCATTCAAAGTAAATCACTTAAGTATTCTTACTCATAAATTAGAAATGTTAAGAAATCTGTTGAGATATCCTCAGACCACAGCATAACACAGTAGATTATTGATATTTAAGCTGAATTTGTGGTTTTATTCTATTGAAAATTTTCTGTAAGACAAGAAATTAATGGGAAAAGTTTTTCAAGTTTGATTAGTTGGTGATGACGGCTTCTGTATAGGCAGTTCTTATAGCCAGTGCTGCTCGAACTATTCTTCTCGATACACAACTTAGTCATTGTGAAACTTATATACTAACCTACACTTTAGATAGTTTAGAATACTTCTGAAGCAAGTTTAGAGGGCTGAGCTATGAAAAGGTTGAGAACCACTGCCTAACATCCTTCGATGATTGAATTTTCCTTAGAAATCTGATCTAAACATGATAATTTATCATCCTAGCATGAAAAATTGCCACTTCATTCTTCTGACGTTTAAGATGATGAACTTCATGTGGCAGAGATTGTATCAATATCCATACCATGCTGTTTACATAGCTATGTCAATTTTTATGGCTTTATCGTAGAAAATATTTATCATTTTTGGATATTTTCGTTAGACTTTTGGCTTTACTATGACGCAAAAAAATTCGTATGCGATAAAGTAATATTAATAAAATTTTATCATAGCTATAAATAGTGATTGAAATGAAATCTACGCAAGTTTACAAAGATTATATTGATTGTAAAATATGGAAAATATTTTTTTTTGTGGCACAAAGGCTTTTTTGGGTGGATTTATTAGATTTGATTAATAGGATGGAAAATTGATAAAGCTTCCGAACTTCTTTGACTTACTTGATCAAATATTGGGTTGTGGACTGGAAATTAATTTATTATAGTTATGGGGCCGTTCACTTATGACGTCCAGGGAAGCTTAAAGCTGGTCAAAAACTGACGACAAGCTGGGAAGTGTAAATTATGAAAACATTTCAATTTAAAGTAATTCTTAAATTGTTATCCAAATTGTACCCATAGCACACATTTGTTTTGACCTATCTCACTTATTATATCTCATTGTCTGCTAATTCATACCAAGAAGACAACAAAAGCTGAATGAATTGTCTAAAAAGCTGTAAGAAAAACTTTTTATTCATTTTGTTATAAAAGTTCACGCTTGATAAAAGTAAACAAAAACAAAATAAACCAAATTAAAACGAAATAAGGCATATTCGACTCTATCATTTACTGCTGCTTGTTGTGTAACCTTTTCTACATGTTTGACCCCTTTCATCTCAAACCCGAGCAGCACAACATTAGATCGCATTTTTTATCACCTGGAAACTTCAGTAACGCTCTGAATTTAAACTCACGATTCTGTGAAGCATTGTTGTAAGCATAGCAACGTCAGCGTCTTGGTCCCAACCACAGATGCAATTGAACTGTCTTTAGCCATTATTGCATTCCTAAAATCGACTACGTTTGGGATAGAAGTGACACCAGCCTTCTTTAGTCCCAACATTGCTCCACTCGGGTCTTACACTTCCACATCTGTCTTCTAATCTCACTCTCGACGAAATAAATATGAGCAACCAAAAAAAAAACAATGGGACAGTCTTTTAACAAAAAAATTTGCATAATACGACACAAATCAAGCCATTCATCATCATTATTATCATGTTGTGAACAGTAGCTTGCCAAAACAAATGGAAAAAATTTTGTTTTTTTTCTCGAAGAGATTAGGTTGGAAAATCATGTGACAGTATATGTTAAGTGAATTAGACTTACTGTGCGAATTGAATATGCTTCCGACAGGCCAAAAGAAATGAAATATGAGATAAGTGATGAGAGACAGTATGGCAAGGCTTTTCTCACTTTGCGGCGAATTAGTGAAATGTAAAGAGTTTGTTTTTCTGTGGATTCATGTTCATTATTTTACAGTCTGGTGACTTTTAAAATGCTCAAATTTAATACACGACTGTTGTTGTAATTAAGCGGTTATGGTAGATAATAAAAATTATAATTTAGCTTATTATGGCACTTGGTTATGACAATTGGAGTATGTTGGATGTTGAGTGACTGATTAGGAATGATGAGTGTGGTATTATGTTTGATATGTTGAATGGATTTAAAATTTGCAGTCAAGTTTAAATTGGTTTTAAATGAAAAAGTTACGGTTTTATAGAATTGAATGTCCAGAGTTCATGCTTCTTATCTATATTGGGATTCAAACTATTCCTTTGATGATTTTGATTGAATGTTGCCAAGAAAGTAAGGCTGAGAGCCCCTTTACAGGACATATGCTTCAGAAAGCTTCAAATAGTTTATTTTACTCTACTGAGATTCGAACCTGTGGTCGCTAGGTTAGTTATGTATCAATTGCACTAAACCTATGTGCCATAAAGCCATTTTAATTCACTAACCTATGTTTGGCACATCCTTCAATCGTTTACAGCAAAATTTCGAGTCCAAATGATCAGCCTGCACAGAACTACTTCATTCTGACCATTATTATCTAGATAATAAGCTAATTTCCTTCCTTTAGTTATCAATCATTGTTCAGCATTCCATACACAATTTCACGACTCTTTAGATACTCAACAACCTCATGAATCAATTATAAATACAAAAACATCACAAACTACATAATAAACAATACACTGGTTGATGAAAAGAAATGATTTAATATCTTTAAGATTGACAATCGCGATAAGACGATGATGGGCAGTTTTAGACTTCCATATTAAATTTATAGACTGCCCAAATAAATCCAGCAATTAAAAAAACTTTTTTTTACGTGCCAAAACCATCAATGGATGCTCGCACTTGCTTCCGTCTTTGCCGCACTTTGAATGCTCATGAATCTTGTATTTGATGATAATTTTTCCAATTCGATTAAAATTATCACGATATTCTGTAGAAAGTTTTGCATCTCTCGGAATGTGATCACGCGGAACGAATCGATCGATAACAGTTGGAAAATCGGAAATTTTGTAGCCATCATTGCATCGTCTCTTCTGTTTTGTATTACAGTTATCTTTAGGCTATAAATAAGGAAGTTTATTTGTTTATTAAAATTTTATTGTAGCATATTTTTTGGGGGTTATTAGATTTTGGATGTACTAATGGAATTGTGTTGTAGGCTAAAAATAATGTTATTGATTGGAATTGAGTGGATGTAATGGGTGCTGATGTGCGCGTTTGTTGTGGATTTTTGGAAGTAGGGTTGGATATGATATGCTAGGCAAGAGCTTAAGGAATACTTTCCCAAAAGACCCCTCTCCCCTCACCCCCTTACATATGAAGTCATACCAACAAAACACAATCATCAGCATTAAGTCATCAAAAATAAACATTCCAATTTATGACTCGTGTCAAGTTTCTTCTACGTACCCGATCAAATTTCTCCCACGTCATCGACTTTGCTCTGCATAAATTTTTATCATCTTGACATCTGCTCGTTATCACAGTCATTGATTTAATATTCTCAACATTTTTGTCCTGCTCGCAGCATTTTGACTCAATTGGACGTGAATCATTGATGGGCTTAAGTTGTCGATTAATTGAAATTTCCTGAAAATTGTTGACGCTGTGAGCATTGAAGCTTTTTTGATTAAATAAGAAGTTCCAGAGATTTTCATTTTGTCGTGGGTCACGAAAATCTCGCTTGTATACTGACGAGTTGTTCATTATTGGATAAGTTCGAAATTCACGATTAAATTTGGATTGAAAAATCGATTTGATTTATTTTGTTGTCTTGGAAAAAAATAAATAAGCGTACTGAGATTTCTGGTGATTGCCGAGATTTAAAATGAATTTTTTTTAAAGTCATGCACTTTTTCCAGTCCAAAATCAACAACAATTCAATCTATTCGCCCCACTAAACACCTCCGCACTTCTCCATATCCCCCATGGACACATCCCGACCATGAAAAAATTCATTCAGGTAGAAATAAAAAAAGTTTTTGATATGTTGAAGTTTAATTAAGCACAATCAAAGTGAAATATTATGATACATTGTAAGCACACGATGTGCTTAGAATAACCAACGAGAAGAGAAAAGAACCGAATATAACATCAAATAGCACACATGAGATTATAACCGTGAAAAACAATTTTTTGTATCCTTAACAAAATGAGATGGGGATTATTCAGAAAAGAAGATTTTTTGGGGCTTGGCTTAATGGTTTTTAGGTTTATAAGACTTAAGTGTAGGTACCCAAAAGGGAAGGGCAAGGTTCTTAATGTTTTAAAGTTATTTGAGAAATTACAATCTAGTTGGAATCGAACTCACATCCTCAAAATACGAGAAATCAATAGATTTAGTCACATAAAGCTTTGTCATTTGACCACAGAAGCTTCAAGCAACTCGAAACAGATTTACCTACATATGTCTTGATATTCTAAGTTCCAATTCAGTGCAACATCTCAATATTACATCCAAGAAACCTAATAAAAACTCAAATTGAACATTTCGACTTGAAAAAGCTGGAAAAAGCTTCCAAAATCTCCCTAATATCCATTCATCCACATCTATGTTGCTTGCAACAATAATTTGATTACAAAAGAATTCCCTCAGGATCAATTCATCTCAGCAAGTGAGCTTTGAGTAGTACAAAAAAAAATATTTCACATGCTTGTATGTATTTATGATGTTCATCTATTATCACGTATCTCATGTAGCTTTCATGATTCTTAATAGAGCTTTATAGTTTTGAGCATTGCTTTTTAAGCAACAATCCTTAGCATTCTCACTTATTAATGGAGTGAATATAATTTGGAGATGCTTACGTGATGATTTTTCTAGAGAGACTTTTTTAAAGCATGCAAAAGCTTTAAAGAAAACTTATCGATTTTTTTTTGTATTCTTGTAATTCAAATCTCAAGCTTGTATGCTGACTTATTAGTTGAAATTTATCTTATTTATTTTTGTGATGGAATCACGTACATGATCATCAGAGAATACCACGTGTGTATAAAAATAGAGTTGCAAGGAATTTAATTTAATAAATGAAAGTAAATCGAATGAAAACTTTTGTAATTGATTTGAGATTTAAAGTAAGGATGAAGCATAAGGGATTGTGATTAAAAATAGTCATGAGGAATTCTTTGGATGATATGGGAGCTACAAAATTAGACCAAGCTATCTAAACATACTTAAAAGTGAGTAACCCTTTTTCTGACTACATTCCTAAATGTAACTTACCTCTCACCCCATCGCCCATCGTGACTTCATTGAGTACTTAACGTAGGTGTTTAATATCAATATCAATCCACACCAAAAGCATAATAATAAATATTCACACAAAATATAAAATGAATATACCTGTTATGCTGTTAATTTCTCGGCAATTATGGATCAAAAAAGTTTATTGCGCAATTAAATTGAAATGAACGTAAAAATTGTGCTTGTAATACATCCAATGGCCAAATAATGATACACACGCTGCATCATCAAACGCAAATCACTCGAGCAATTTACACACAGTAAATGAAATTCCCTCTTGTGTCTGTTATGAAATTGGTGATCGTTGTAATTTTTTAATTTTTTTGTGAATGTTGTAAAATTACTTTTTTTTGTCATGTCACACGAGGCAGATGAGGTTGGAGAGAATGTGCTCGGCGAATATGAAGTGATACTCACTGGGGAGTTTAAAAAATTAGGCCTAAGATTAAAGGCGGGGGTCTTTACTAGGCAGAGGCTAGGCTAGTTAAGAATTCTGCCTTTATTTTTAAACCTAATCTCAGACTTTTCAGCCTTGCTTTCGATTTAGAATAGCCAATGATAGGTTTCATTAAAAGAACTGGAAACTAGGACAGCCTCATAATCTATTTAAATAAGATACTTCAAACGCTTCTTTTTTTACAAAACACCTAATTGCCAAAACCTACTTAAGAGAGAACCAATTCATGATGTAAACAGCAATATGCTCAAAATAAACTCAAGCATTTCCGACATCGTTGTGAATATTTGCTTTTTTTCGTGTGGACATTGTGGCGACTTTACGAGATGATTGATCTCCAGAAAGGCGTTTAATCTGGAAACTTAGGTGTGAGAAGTCATTTTAGGCTGCTGTAAACCCAAACCTGATTAAAATCTCATACAATTGCCTTTAAAGAGTAGTTTATGCCAAGTTTCAAGGAAGAGATGCCTAGAATATTCATTCTTCCTTCCTTGGCTGGGGCGCACGTGGGCCCATTGCCGCGCTTAGATAACGTCTAAAGACAGCTCTATCCTTCGACACCTTCTGCCAGTTCGAGATATTCAGGACTCTCGCGTCTTTTTCAATACTTCAACTCCAAGTTTTGAGAAGGAGACGTCTAGAATATTCATATTGGTGTAATTATATCAATTTTTCAGCATTACACTTCTTTAAATCCAAGGTTTGATTACCTCAACATTACTCATTAGTTCATTAAAGTTTGTCAATCAACACGTTGAATCAAAAGATTTCTTCATATGATTTTGATGACTGTAATGAACATTGTTTATTATGGAAAGCTTCAAGGACATAAAAAGTTATTGATTTTTTTTCTGAGAAAAATGAAGAAGATCTTTTGTCTCGTGATTGTCGTTGCTATGAGGTGATCATAATGATTTTGTAGATTGCCTGCTTTAGCAACGTCCTACATATCATAATGATGTCTTTTTTGTAATATGGGTTAGTCGTAGACATTGGTATCCGTGGAGACTTGTTGTTATTTGATGAGAATGTTTTGCTCAATCTTAAATCTTTAATTTGGTTTTTGGAATAGGAAGAAAGTGAATTGTTTGGCTTGGAAGTCATACTTGAATTTTGTAGGCTTAGTCTCAAAAATTCATGTCTTCATAAAATAACTTCAACATCCCAAAAAACCACAGAAATCAATAAATTATAATCCTCACAAGCTCTCACGCATAAATTTTCCCAAAACAACTTGCAAAAACGTCCAAAAAATATTTTTAAATCATCAATTCAAAACAGAGGCTAATAAGCTAGATTTATGGCAACAAGTTGCCACCATCAGTCCACTACAAAAGTTTAACAACATTTAACAAAAGCTACTCAAAATCCGTGTAATCAATCAAGAGAAATTCCCCAAAACACGCCTGTTCATTAAAAATAAACATTTGCGAAATTCCTTGTAAATTAAATTTTTCAATAAATATAAAAACTCGAGAAAATTTGACATTATATCGTAATAATATTCAAGATAAGGAAGTGATAAATCATCAGAAAATTGCCAATTGACGTCAAGAACGAGGGGAGGTAGAACAAGTGTAAAATAATCGAAAAAGAAGCACCGAAATAAAATTTAAAAATAAATAAATAGCTAGAAGGAAGGCGGCAATGATGAAGATGATGAGCAATTTATCCCTCACAAGTCTCGACATCATCAAGTGGCTCATCAACTTATCTATGCTGCATGAATGTATTGTCAGAGTTGGTTTTTCTTTTTTATTGGTTTAGATAAAGTTTAGCTTGTATCTGGACATTTTTTTTTTCATTTTAATTGCACTTTATTGCATTTATTGACGACATACTGTCCGGAAATAATTCACATTTTACGCTTTTGTATTTGTATACATATAAATTAGTATTATGTAGGATCAAACTTCTAATCTTCATATCTAGGTTTCAAATAAACTAAGGCTCTCGTTTCGATCTTCTGTAGGCGTTACGTGATACTTTTCAGGTCCGTTCTATCAATATTCCGTTCGTGGGTAATCTTGTAGCTCTCGTTCCTATTTCTCCCGCTACACTTCAAGTTCCTGACCCGTTCCTTAATCCAACGTAATATTACTAGGATGAGGTCTAAGCAGTTACTTGAGGCTAAGATAAAAATGACATGGTTGGTGGGGTGTTGTCATGTGTAAAGTTGATGTAACCTAGTTCAATTAAAAACTCAAGATTTAACCCAATGACTGGTTTCTAGGGCTATGAACTGTACTTCTAGCATAGCTCACCAAACCCAGTCTAGATCCAGATACTCAAACGTTGAAAAGCCATAATCTGAATTATAGAATGTCCTGGTCAGATGTTGTCCTAGTTTGAGACACAACTTTCATTCATATTAAACGATCCATGTAAGATATCTGCTTCAGCAGCACTGCCCAATATTCATATCCAGAATTGTCAATAGTCGCTATTGTGACAAGCCTCATCGATTTATCTTAATTTTAAAATATATTATTTTATGTAACATTTTGATGGTCATCAGCATCGCGATTACTTTACATTGCGACTGCCATGGGCTAGACAGACTCGACTATACTCAAGGCAGCACGATAAATAGAGAGAGGAGAAAGAGACCATTAATTTAATTTCCTTCTTTTTTTACATTCATTCATCTTCTTTGTTATGTTGCTTTTGCTTTTCTTTGCTTCTTCATTTTTAAGCTCTAAAAATGCCAACATCTGACATACATCTTATGTATTAAAGATGAATAAAAAGAAGTAACGCAATTGCTGTAATAAAAAGGAAGACATACATATTAATCGCTTGTTACATAAGTGAGCATCGCGACGAACAACTTCTGAGCATTCAGTGAACTCTTTTTTTGGCACTAGCTTTGATGCTTTTATATGCAAAATTGGAAAAATTAGCAAAAAAAAGTGGAACAAAAACATCATTGAGGAATCACTTAAAGTTGATGACTAAGATATTTTGTGGATGACTGAGGTGTTTTGTGAATGATTGACGTGTTTTGTGTATGCAAATTAGCTATCGATTATTTTAAGACAAGTCAAGACAATAGTGTGAGGAGGAAAGTTCAAGAGTGATGGGAATTTTGGAATTAAAATGTTTTTGTTGATTTTAAAGATATTGGAAATTTTGAGTGTTATGGATTTTTTGGAATA